TTCATTCACCACGATCTTGAAAACTGACCAAATCGGCGTGACCACACTCATGGCCCTCTTACAGGTCTATTCTGCGCTGTTAATAAAGAGTTTGTAACCGGTAAATAAAGTTCCTGTCAATTTTTAAACCCTTTTCGCATTCTGTGTACTCTTGTAACCGGTAAATTTTGTTACCATCTCATAAGCTGGTAACAAATTATTGCCCCGTAAAATATGCAATGCCAGGATTTGCACATCATAGCTGAATTGCTGAATATTTTAACTGCGTTACCAACGTACCTAGAATCACGGTGACAAGAACTGGTAACATTTTTTGGTAATCAATTATCCGATTACAAAATCTTCGGTAACGTGCAGAATAGACCTGTTAATATTAAATAAACATCCGAAGACATTAAAACGTTTGAAATAAATCGCGGCTCACTTTTTTGCATTTTTCACTTGGTGGCTGAAGTAATGACGAATTGAAAATTCATAAGGGAAAATTATAGTTTTTGTAAGTTTTATCTTAATATTTTAAAAACTTGTAGATATATTGAAAAATGATAAATGAACATGAGGTACCAAATTTAATAACCCTTAATTTGATATATCGTCCTATTTATAACAATTAAAGCATTCCATAGATATTACAAGCCAAAGTTTCATTTTCAAAATTCATACACTTTGCTTGAATTACGCGGGCTAAAGATAAGTTTTAAATTAATCTTTCGTGACCAAAAACAATTGGCTTAGATATAAGACAACATAATATTACTATTACAATACGGTCAAATGCATTTTATTTTCCCCCATACAAACTCGACCCAGCCTAACATACATACTTATGTTCATGCTTATATATGTACATACAATAAATGAAAATTTATGCGTTATTCAGTATTACTTGAATCATGAATGAAAATTTATTCTTCATTCGAAATTACTTGAATGAAGAATACAAATTTATTCGTTATTTAAAATTACTTGAATGAAGAATAAAAATTTATTCGATATTTGAAATTACTTGAATGAAGAATAAAAATTTATTCATCATTCTCAATTACTTGAGGGATGAATAAAAATTTATTCGTTATTTGAAATTATTTGAATGATGAATGAAAAATAAAAATTTATTCGTTATTTGAAATTACTTGAATGATGAATACAAATTTATTCGTTATTTGAAATTATTTGAGTGATGAATAAAAATTTATTCATCATTCGCAAGTGCTTGAATGAAAAATAAAAATTTATTCGTCATTCAAAATTAGAAAAATTATGAATAAAATTTAATTTTTTATTTGAATAATAATTCATTCAAAAACGCCCATCCCTGTACATATGTATCTATAAGTATACATACATAAATATGATAAGAACCTACAATTACATTCCATATACTCTAATATGACGAAAATGTGCGATCATAAGCTGGAGTGAACAAGAAATTGGAAAAATAAAATAAAACAATCGAGTTGCACAAAAATTGCGCTATTGCGCGGACGCAGATGCGGTCAATACTTGCGCAATTCCGTGAGTGCTCACGAGAATTGCACAAAAATTGCGCAATTATTGCGCAATTTGTGTTTACTGGGTATTTAATTTATTATAGATCGGGGCAATGCAAACGTTTTGAAAAGTACCAATGTTTAACAATTTATTGTTATAATATAAAGAAGTATTTTCTTATACTTTAAGGAATTCCGCCCCTGGGGCGGTGCCACCCCCATAATAATAATATCCCAACGGTTTTTACCCTCCATTCCCGCCCATCCGCACGAGGGGCGCAGTCCGCATGACGTACGGAACCAATATTTTAAATTTTTGTGCCGAGTCACGATAGGCAGGAGTTTGTTAAGTGTCGAGATCTAAAACTGTTCAGCTACAGAGCTAAATTCATCAGCTGATTTTATGTATTTATGTCAATAATTCACTTATTGAGAGAGGAGAGTATCGCTTTCTTAATGCTGAAAAGCGGATCTGATATATCAAACGTGCTGGAATGAGAGTTAAAATCCTGGCATAAGCAACGGAGTGGGTCGTGCAATTCAAAATTGGTTTTACAAGCTTTCAGAAATATGGGACAAAAGTGTCTTGATACGCGTGAGGGAACATTAAAGCTTACATCAGCCAGAAGAGACGGACTTGAAATTGAGCCTGT